TTTTTTTTTTCAGAAAGTCTTTGCAAACGCTGGCAAGTACTATTGTAATAAGGCAGAAAGATCTAGAAAGTTGCAAACGAGATATTAAACAACACTCATCAAATATTCGTGATTTTGAAATGCAACACAACATTCCTCACAATATGTACATCCAAAACGAGCAGCTAGTACAAGGTTCTGAAATGCATATGAATATCATCAGGACTCCGGTGGGTCAACACCCGGCTCAAATAAGCACTTCAGTCACTCAAGATGGACTTCGGCCGCCACCTCCCTATGCTTCAGTACCACCAGCAAATGGAGGGTATCTCGTTCGACCCCCTTTTCCCCATTATCAAAACGTTAATGTAACTATGCAACAACCTCAGTACATGAACGTCAAGATGGAAAATGGCCAACAATTGACTTCACCCAGTCAGTTTTACAGCGATATGGTTAATTTGAATTTGTATCGTAAAATTTGTAATTATCTAGAAAGATCACGCATTTTAAATCCTCCTGTTATTGTTATTTAAATTAAAAACTTTAGATTTTTCTCCTCAACCGAATAGTAATTCTACTGGGTCAGGAGATTGGCAAGTTCGTAGTAGAGGCAGTAATAAAAAGAGGAAACGTGACGACGACTCATCTGAATGTTCGAGGCCTCGTGTCTTGGGAGGTGTTAGTGAAAGCAGCTTGACCACACCTGAAGAGAAAGAACTTTTTGATGTGCTTCACAATATTATTTCCCAAGTGGTCATCATGGTTGAAGGTAATTTCTCTTTTCAAAATCATTTCTACTTCATTTTGCTAGTCTGTTTCTTTAGGTGCAGAGGGTTGTCGTAAAACTGGAATGCTTAAGAAACTGCTGGAGTCTCAGCCCGGGAGTGGTGCTGCAGTCCAGAAGTCTCCGCACCGGGGACCTGAATCGCAAGGTAACAATTTTTAGTAGTTTTTCAGGAACACAAGTTTGAGGTAGCTGCTGTTTTTCGTGTGGATTGCTTAAAAATCGAGAAATAGTGGCGTTTTTTACTTGTTTTTGTCTCATTCTTGCTGTTGTATCTTTTTTTGATGATAAGTTATAAAACCGTGCCTCCTGTTCTAGATGGTTCTGTGGGTGATTTGACCATAAGAAATCTTGAGGCACCGAAACCAAAAAAGAAGCGGACACAAGTAAAGAAAATGTCAGTGGGAGCAAACAATGAGTATGAACTGCTGCTTACAAGAATAAACGCTCAGCTTCGACTCTGCAGTCCACTACCAAGGAGCGCTCTTGAACCGTTGCCAAGAAATGACCGGTCCTCATTTACGACTCTCGGTGTAAGTGACCTACCAGATCGGAAAGGTAATTTGTTCATAATCGCCTTTTCATTTAGTGTTTTTCACATTTGGCTGCGTTACTTTTTACCGTTTGATTAAATTTAGATAAGATGCCTATAGTGGGTGAAAAGATCGGTGCAATGAAGCTTGTTTTTATGGATGATTACTATGCCAGTATTTTCAAATGCCCGTTTAAAAAAGAGGATGTTTACACTTTGATGAGCGATTTTTGCAAAGACATAAACACAAAAGCATTGATGAAGTTTGTCTCATTTGCTCTTTTTAAAGTTTCTGGTAGAGCAATTCTTCCTCTCAAATTTCAGCAGCTTCTGAGTGATTCACTCTTCTAAACTTGCAGTTACGATTCCCAAAATTATGCATGGCGTGAAGAATATGATATTGATTCTCACGGAACTAGGATGGAGTCATTGTTGGCACCTCAACGGTCAAGGTCGCCTCGGCTTCGTGGGGTTGCTCGGATCCCTGATGCAGTTGCTCCAATATCGCCTCACAGATCAGCTTTCTTCAAAGTGAGTGCACAAGAGATTTTAACTTTCTCAGCTGTTCATATACGTTGGGGCAGTCTGCTCATCGTCTTTTACGGGGATGTCGCTTCTTTTTTTAGAAACTGGAAATGGATCATGAAGAATGTTCAGTTAACCTAATTATTGAGGGAGTAGACTCATCGGTTTGTTTTGATCAGTTGATGGCCTTATTGAACGTGAAAAATAAACCCGAGTTTCAACTTGACACTCCTCCTCGGACGCCAGAGCTTAGTCAGTGTTAGTGTTTCTTTATTATTCTAGTTCTGTTCCAGTTGTTGGTCTGGGACAAAAACTTTTACTTCCTACACATTTTAGTTCTTACAGTGGGAGTCTTTTAGCATCTACAGTTGAAAATATAAAGTCTGAGCCAGAAGAAAACCTTTTTACTTGTCGTTACTGTGGAGCACTTACGAAAGAAGCAGCTATTAAACGTTCTTCAGGCCAACTAGGCATTACTCCGAACAACGAGGTATATTTACAAATTACTGACGAATTGCTACAAGAGTTTTTATGAATTCAATTCTCTTACTGATAAAGTTCTCTTCTGCATTTGAGGTATTGATGAACAATTTTTTTCAGAATGATGAAGAGGTGGCATTTTGCTCTTTGCTTTGTTACTTCAATTTTGCAGCTAATGCAAAAGTGGCTCTTTCAAATGACGATCTTACGGTAAGAACTGGATTTATAGTTATAGTTTTTTCTGCTTACAAAATTTTTTTTGTTATTTTTTCTTCTGTTTTATTCTAGAAAGCTGAGAAATACGTTGATGGAGAAACCTTGGCTAGACTGAGACAAATAAGTGCTGAACACTTCGCAAAATGTCTTCATCTTGGAAAAGTATATTTTTTCAATCAAATCGT